CTCCACAACTTCCTGCCCCTTGTAGCTCTAAGCATAATTTAACTTTTTACCATCCTTTCTTTTCCTTGTTCTGCCCTCCATTCATATAAACTAATTAGGTAGGTTACTTGCAGTTTCACTCTGCTTCTCTTACCTCTAATATGTTCTGTGAGTGTTCAATTCTCTAGGCCCTCTTTCCTCATAATGTGCACCAGAAATTTCAGCTGTCTTTTTCTGGTTTTAATTATAACTGTCCTTTTAATACAAATTTTCTGCTCAAATGTTCAATCCGTGCTATTCTCAGTTTTCATCTGTTCCAGTCATATGTCTCTTTTTCATCTGTAATTGTTCAGCATTCACTGCTATATAAGAGGATAGATAAAACACTCTTTTCTTTGTTTCTCATGAAATTTTTCTATATCTTAATACTTCCTTTAGATTCTTGAAGCCATCTTTTGCTATTCCAATGCATCTTCAGATTTCTGTGTAACATTTTCTCTCGACTGTATTCAAGTATATTAATACAGAATACCTTAGCCAAGTGGATAACTCAAATTATATTAACTTAATGTTCATTTTACATAAAAATAATATAAATCTTTCAATATCAGAAAATTACGGTAAGGTACTAGAGCTACGTATAAAAGATTTTATCTTCAAACAAATGAAGCCACTACTCCAACAGGTAATTAATATATTAAAAAAAGCTATTTATATGACATGTAATGAAATTTAAATGACATGTAATAAAATGATGTTTGTATGTTGTTTTCAAATATAGAATAAAAAATTACAATAGTACACAAACTACATTGTAAAGTTGTACATCTGAATGAAATCGAATTCACTCCAATCAATTCAGCAACTCTAACATGCTGATGTCATTTTCATGAGATGTAATACAATGTGTTTATGTAATTTAAAAAAAAAACATATCAGAAATGATATCATAGCAAATTAAAAAAAACCATGAAGTACCCATTATGCATATGTATGCATATAGCATGGCTTCAACAATAAAGTACCAATACATACATATGCATATGAAATATACAAGCACATACAGAGAAAGGACATAATAAGTAACCTTGTGATTTTGGTACTTTCATAGACACCAAGAGCTGAAATGCTTGCTCAGTGAATACAAAACTGGTATAAAAATTTCATAACAATTGTCTACTTTTTTTTAAAGGAAATATTGACAGGAAATGTGACAATCCTGTGTTGATTTGTTCTTGGTAATTAGTTGAAGAATCAACATAAAATGTGAAGCTCTTGGTTTTATTTTGTCCAATCTTTGTACTGTTTGACAGCGATGGGTTAAAGCAGAGAGAGGCCACCAAATTGTTTCTAAATGCAAGGTTAGTTGCTAGAGGTAAAGAGATAGAAAAAAAGATAGACACACATGGGCATTGCAGTGAGCTTAGCAACCATTTTTTTTGTTTCTTATTACCATTTTTTCTTTTTTAGAAATTGTAGAACTTGCAGAGCATTTAGAGGTAGCAGAAAAATGTACATGCTGGAAAAATCTGGGTGAGTAGGAGATTCTGCAACATGCAGTTATACCAAACATACAGTCAACTAGCTGAGTGTGCTAAGGTTAGTTGTAAAAATCACAATAACAGAAAACTTTCTTGGCTCTTTCTGGTTTGATTTCATTAACAATCACTAGAAAGATTGGCTGCTAATTCTAACTGCTTTAAAAAAATAAGTTCACTGGAAACAACAACAACAACAACAACTTTTTATGAATTATCACTTATGACAAAAATACATAAATTTTAACTTGTTGGGGTAAAAAGTACTACAAGTAGTTGCTACTTTTAATATTTTAAATAACAAAAAGATTATTTCCATTTGAAAGTTAATTTTACTTCATCTATTAGATACTAAATTACATGACCATTTTTTCTCTTTTTGTAAGTTCTTAAACAACTTTGTTCATCAACTGATAATCTGTACATCATAACAATTTGCTGTTATATTCATCAGTTGAAGAAATTAGTTAAATTTTGTATTATAAAATATAGACTACTTTTATGAATATTCTAAATATACAGATAAGCTCCCAGTAATTCATTATTCTTTTTCAAATTTCAAAAATACACCTGCAAAGCATATAAACTTATGCAAAGTTTGCTGAAAAAGAATTTTAGCCAAATTTCTTATTTGTAGTATATATCATAAAAACAAGTGTTTTTTTTTTATATCTGGGTCCTAAACTATTTTATCAAAATGTCAAGGCATAGAATAAGAAATGGACACAAGAAAATAAGAAGATGAAACCTTAACTATTTTTTCTCTTCTGTACCAAACCTGGAATTTTTTTTCCAAAATCCAATTACTGGTATCAAGAGGAGCCTATATCAGTAAAAAGCTCCAAAGAATGAAATATATCCACAATTCAGTGTTATTTAATTCATTCATTTCTATTTTAAAATTCATTATATATTTTAATAATTTTTAATGCATCATATCAATGAAAACTATTTCTTAAAGTTTGACAATGCAAGTATATAATAGAAATCTTTTAATAAAATCAGAAATAATATTTTCAAAAATGGTCTTGTTCAATTCTCTTCATACAAATAATGCCATCATGAACACAATACAAATTACTTTTAATTAAAAGCACCTGATGCCAACCACTGATTGATTGCCTATTTGAAATCAATGCCATGAATAATTTTTTTTTGTTACATTTGTATGTGGAGAAAAGTGCAAATTCCTCATCTTAAAGAGATATCTGACATATAATTAAATTATTTTTCTGATGTTTACAGGCTAAATATTTCATCACATTACTTTCAAGGGATTTTGAAAGCACCTGTTGGCTCCTAATCCTCATAGTTAAGACAGCAAAAATGAAGACAGATTTTGTAACTGTCAGTGGCAATGCTTTTAAAATTTTCTTTCATTTATGACATCTAAAATTTTCATTCATTATTTTGAAAGACAACAGAATGTTGACAGTTTGTTTATATTTGATGAAGACTGTTTTTGTAAACATTTCAAATTTGTTTGCTTCTTGTCATTTTAGACAAATTCATAAATTTGTCAATGGAAAAGAATTGAATGTGTGTTAGAAAAGTTAATTTTTTTAAGAGAATTTTTTGTGGGAATTTATCTGAACAAAGAAGATTAATCAACTGTTCAAGAAAATTATAAATTCATGACTTATGATTATAATCATTGACTATATTAAGAAGAATTGCTGAAAGTATCATTGTGGAAATCATTTTGCTTTATGTAGTTATTTAGTGTCTAAAATATAAATATTATAATGCAAATTTTGCATGTGTTTCATTTTTTAAAATATAATTTTTAACAGAATAAAAATATTATCAACCCCTTCCTCACTAATTTTTTTGCAAAATACGTTTCATTTTCAGATTAATTTTTTTTATTTGTTTTTAATATAGTAACTAAGAAACTGAGGCATTTTAAGTACCTGTGCAGTGGCTAACACTTCTATCAGACATGAATTAACAATTGAATTCATTTCAAGCTCTGAAGAGTATAAAAAGAATCAAGATTGACATCTAAACATGTCTGTAGCTGCTTTTTAAACATCATATTTTGGATATATTTATTTGTCCATGCCTGAAAAAGACACTATGTATATATACACATCTATAGGGGTTAATACTGTTAAAAAAGTTTTAAGAGTGTTTTCATGATATGAGACATTCAAAATTATTGCATTTTGCTTTGTGTATAGAGACAATATTATTATCATGTTTGATCCATTCTTGCATCAATTGTTACTTAATGGAGAGCATAGATTCCTTAACTTTTGTCTTTATATTTAAGTAGGTGAGTATTTATTTTCCTTGAAAATTGATAACCCATTTCCTTTTTCTTTCTCTATCATCACAAACAATGCAGAATAAGTTTATATCAATCTAGATAGCATCTACTATCAAAACAATAAATCTTGTAAGAAAAGAAAATTCTTCACCAGAAATTTTCTCAGAAAATTCATTTGATAAAAAAAAATATTGATCATATTCTTCCTGATATATTAATAAGTGTGACAAAGGGGAAAAAGTTTACTTGTGGTGTGTTTCATCCTTCAGGACTTCATCAGACTAAATTTGTTATGTTGGTACAACTACATATGCACACAAACAAGGTGTGCTGGGGATTTTAGAATTTTTTTTAGAATTTACTTTTTAAATTTCCTTAGAATTATTTTTATATATATCCGAATTCATTTAAAATCTCTTTCTTTTTCTTTCCATCACTTTTGTTAATAGGCATCCCACACTATGATAATAGAAGATCTACTAGGAATGCTGAAATGTTGTAAGAGTGATCAAAGCACTCTCTAAACATTTACATTGTTTTCCCCTTTGATCAGAGAAGAACAAAATGCATCACAATAAACATTTTTCCACTTTGTCATACAATTTTCCCAATATTGTTCCTGATATATAAAAATATATATCATTATCTCATATTAAGGAGTGTAAAATTATCTGATGCAAATATTATTCCCAAATATATGAATTGTAGTATATATCAATTGAATTATATTGAAATTTCAATGTAGATGTAACAATAACAGTAAACCAAATTGCAAATCACAACACAAAAGTTGAAAAAAAAAAAAACAACCCAGAAAGTGTAATATCCCAGAAAGAAGCAAAAGGTTTCTGTATTATTTTCTATTAAGTTAAATAGAATATTCTAATTGTATTAGTAAATGAAAATATTTTTACCTGAAACAAAGATTTCAGGAAAGAAAGAAAGATTGTAAAGATTTAACAAACAACATTCACAGGCATATTTACAAAATATAAAAAATATATATAATACAATCAAATAAGGACATACCTTCATAATTGATACATAAAAAAAAATATTAATTTTTTAAAGATAATTTTCATTTTGTTTTTAATTCTCTTTTCAAATGCATTTTTTAGAGAAAAAATAACGAGAAAAAAGACCTTAAACCAATTTCACATAAAAGAACATTTTTTTAAAAAATGAATTAAGTTGTAAAATAATTGACTCACCTGCAAGCTCGGCTCATTGGAAGCTTGAGTCGTAGTCATTCGATGCAATGATTCCTCATCAATATCCAACAGGTTGGTGTTGCTTGGATTCTCTTGATTCTCCTTGCAGTCGAAATTTGCAGTTCCGCCTTGCCCACTCAGCTTAGGTGTGTTAGGATTCGATCCCCGCATGACACAAGGTGGTGGGGAGCTCATAGACTTCGTTTCCACACTGTTTGTGTCCCATTCGTTTCTTGGGACTTCTGAGGCAACATCCATCAAATCAACACTCTTCGCGAAAGCATCCCTCAGATTTACAGAGTGGAAGGAGACTATGCTGCCATTCCTCTTCGCCCGCTCGAGCGCCTCCTTACGTTTCAGCGCCTTTTCTCTTCTCATTTGATCTTTATAAAATTCGGCGAAGTTATTTACTATAATAGGAATTGGAAGCGCAATAACTAGCACACCACAGATACAACACACGCTACCAACAACTTTTCCAAGGATCGTCGTCGGGTAGATGTCACCATATCCTACCGTCGTCATTGTGATGGCAGCCCACCAGAATGTTTCGGGGATACTGACGTATTTAGTTCCTGGCTCGTCTTTTTCCGCAAAGTAGGCAAGGCTTGAGAATAAGAGTATTCCAATGGCCAAAAACATCATAAGTAGACCTAACTCTTTATAGCTTCTTTGTAAAGTATACCCTAATGATTGCAGACCAGTTGAATGTCTTGCAAGTTTTAGAATTCGCAGAATTCTCATTATTCGAAAGATTTGCACCACTCTGCGGACATTTTGGAACTGTTCCGTCGTACTTTTGTTGGTCTCAGTCAATCCTAGGGAAATGAAATATGGCAAAATTGCCAGTAGGTCTATAATGTTCAAGGGTCCTTTGAAGAATTTCCACTTATTCGGGGATGCCCAAAAGCGTCCCAAATACTCCAAGGTAAACCATCCAATGCAAACAGCTTCTACAATGGCAAGCTGTGGGTTATCAGCCCCTTCATGCTCTCCTTCACCTTTGAGCCCAGGAATTGTATTTAGTGTTAGCGCCACGGTAGACAGGACAATGAAGAGAATGGACACAATGGCCAAGACCTGAAAAATGGTTTCAAATTCTGGTAACGCTGAAAAAACACACAGGGTTAATATACTTTTTTTTCTTGTATTTTTGTCGTAAGGAAATTAATTCAGAGAGTTGTAGGGATTTCTAAATTTATTTTTGTAATAAATTTTTTTTTGAAGGGACTTAAAAAATAGTAAAGTAGTAAAAATAGTAGTAATAGTAGTAGTAATAGTAGTAGTAGTGGTAAGCTGAGACTCACACCAAAGCATGATGGTTAGAGGGTTAAAAAATGCTGGAAGAAGGATAGTTGAAAAAGCAAAGTAGTAGAATATATTCAGAAATATATACACTTGAAATAACAGCAGTAAGTAACGGAAGGGGTTAAGGATAATCCATAGGGACAGTAGGAGACGGCTTTGATTTTTGTTTTTTAAATAGCAGCCAAATTTAGCCACATTTTTGGTAGTGGATGCTGTACATGGAGAGGTGTGCTAGCTGTTACGCTGACAATCCATACAACAGCAGAGAGAAACATATGCATATATTTTATATATACATATATGTAGATAATACATATATAGATAAATCTGAAAACTAGAAGTCTCACAAAAAGCTGGAAGAGAACAGAGAAGCCGGGACAACAAAATCTATTCTGACAATCAATAGCAGATACCAACAACAAACAACAATTAAGCAAAAGAAATAGACATAAACCATTAAAATGAAAATATATATTGAGACAGCAGGAAAATTTAGGGCATTTGAATGTTCCTTTTTTTTTCCATAAAATAAGTGAAAAATATATGTGATTTTTAAGGATAACCTTTTTTGAATGTGTGGACATGGAATAAAAGTTTGTGAATATGGAAAGAATCAGAGTGCATGGTTCCATCTGCCAGCATTTTGGTCCTCTCCCGAACCTCACATTAAGGCACCGATGTCAAAAGCTCCAAATACTTTGTCGACAGATGCCTTGATAATGACATTTGAAAGAAGGCTGAAACACTGGCAAATGAAAACATCTACCCTGTCCAATTCCTCAAAACAGACAAGAATATCATGCACACTGATTTATAAGTAGAATAATCACAATATATTGGAAACTGAATCATAGAAGAAACCATATATAATAAATAGAATGTATGAAAATATTTCTAATATCATAGAAAAGATTAAAGAATAACCATGAATGGACAATAATCATAATAGTAATGTTGAATTTAATAAAGGAATATATGAAAAGATTTGATAACAGTAAATAATTTAAGTTATATCATAAGTAGTAATAGCAAGAATTAAAAATAGAAGTATGATTTAATAACATTTAACCATGTTAAATAAAATGTAATTGAAAATAATAAGGATAATAATAATAATCTCAAAGAATTAAATAAAGATTCTTAAGAATAAAGATTCTTAAGAATAAAGATTCTTAAGAATAAAGATTCTTAAGAATAAAGATTCTTAAGAATAATACATAAAATGTTTGATATAATAAAGACATAATCAGAAAAATATTCAATATTTCTTTTCTTTTTATTTTGTCTTCAAATTTAGGAAAATAAAATAAGCTAATGGATAAAAAATATCAGTATAAAATATTTATATACATATATGCATAACTGCTATAAATGGCATGTATGGGTGTGTGTGTGTTAGGATTGTCTGTATGTGAAAGTGGGCGGATGTGTATGCAATGATATATTTGTGTAAATGTGTGTGTTTACATATTTGTGATCAGTTTAGAATAAAAGGTGAATTAAACATCAAGTGTATAGGGGAAGTGCTATATTTTGGTACAATATTGGATTTAGCATAACCAAAAGAAATTTGTAAAAAGTAAAAGTGACTTTTCTCAAGATGCATTAAATTATAGTGCATAAAACTTAAATATCACAATATAAGTAATTATGAAAAAGAGTAAAATAAAATGAAAGATACAAGCTTGACCTGTTACAGTGTATATATATATATATATATATATATATATATATATATATATATATATATATATATATATATATATATATATACACACAAGTTCAAGCATAATATACAGACACATTCAGGTTTTAAAATGCAGAAAATAATTTAAAAAGTGTTATTAAACTTCCTATTCATGTTTAAAGTTTCATCCCTCAATCCAGGGACGATAACAAGAAATAATCAGACAAGCAGAAGTCTTCCTTTATTAAATAAAAGGAATATTCCAGCATCTGTTTCCTCCCTACCGTCCATGGCTTCTACCCGACGACGATCCTTTTAAGAGAAACCTAAAGGATGAAAGTCTATTCATGAAATAGAAAGTTTAATACTTTAAATATATAAAATTTAGATTTAAAACTATTTAGTTAAATTTTTTCTTGTAAAATATTTGTAAGATTTATAAAATTTGTAAAAATGTAATTAAATTTTAAAAACTTTTTATATGAATAAATAAAAATTGATCCATTCCTCTGAGTAAAATGAATATACAATACCTTAAATTTTCCCATTGTGTCAATGAAACAATAAAAAAGATTATTTTTTCAATATTTTAGTCTTATGATGCATGAATATAATGGTTAAAAGTGAGGAGTAAATAATGAAGAATGAATTCAGGTAAAAAGTTTATTTATAGTCAGGGTAACTAAGCAACTAATTCATATGAATAAAAAGGGTTCAAGTATGATTTCTAAACTACAGTAAGTGTTGTAAGTGTTCATAATCTGTTTCATTCAAATCTATCACTGCTTACTGAATGATACTTGCTTAAAATTCTTGCAATAACTATGTCCTCTCAAAGCAGAAATATGAAGTATTATGTTAGCATTGTTGCAATGGCTTCAAATCAGCTTTTTATTAAATTTGTGGAACCACCAGAAATTTAAAAAAAAGAACCCCAAGGTTTTTGTCTACAGCCTTCAACTTAAATACTGGACAACACAAATTAAAATTAGAAGTGAATACTAATAATTTTTTTCTTTTTTTAAATCATGATCTTCTCTAAGAGTTATAATAATAATAATAAGAAGAAGAATGATGATGATGATGATGGCAAAAAAATGCCTCCTCATTGATATGACTGGTCTTGGCAACCATAATATCAAGGTCAAAGAAATTGATAAACTTAAAAAATACACCGACCTCCAGATTGCAGTTACCAGAATGTGGGATGTTCAGACCAATATTGTCCCAAATATTGGGGCTTCGTATTCTATACCACCAAACTTAGTCCTATATTGAGAAAATTATAATAAGGCTTAGTATCCCATCGCTTTAGAAGTCTGTGTTGCTTGGCATTGCAAGTCTGTGAGAGGTGCTCTCTGTACAACTTGATGAAGATTGCCCATAATGCAAGATCTTCAGTTGAAAATGAAAACCGTGCAAAGGAAGATAATAATAATAATAATAATAATAATAATAATAATAATAATGGTTGTATTTTGAAATTACTATTATTATGCTTAATTTATAAATATTTGTGATCAGAAACAACCAGGTCTTCATAAAGTACTACATATATACTTATGAAAACATTATCAGAAATACACACAAAATTTTTTATTTGAAAATTTTCAAGTAAAAATATATATTCCTCACATATTAAATTAGACAAAATTGATGAAACAAGACTGAAATAAATAAGCTTTCATTTTTTCTACTTTATTACTGAAATGGAACAAATCCTAAGCATTCATCTTTAGCAATCAAAGATAAAAGAATTTTTAATTAGGTACTTAAGAAAATATAAAGACTATAAAGAACCTGAATATGTTATCTCAAGTTCTGACATGCAGTGTGTTTTCATGAAATCCTTATCTTTGTTGTTTTGATCAACATGACTGGTAGAATATCCAGCTTTCTTTGTATGTAGATTACAGCTGGTAATCTTCCAAAATTACTTATCTCCAAACTTCACCATCTTACTGATTAAAATACAATAACTTAACAAATTAATAAAAAAAATAATAATTTAATAATAATAATAATAATAATAAAAAGAAACACATTTTTGTCCTTAAAAGTGTGTTCCATTTTTTAAATTATTCTTTTCTTTATTGCTATAAACATATATTACAAACCATCATATTTATAATTTTTTTCTTATCATTTATAACTGCAATATCAACTTTTCCATTTCTTTAATGTTTATATATTTGAAATTGAGAAAAGAAGATTCAAAAAAGGGAACAGGTTCCATTGTTAATCTGCAAAAGACTTTTTCAATATTTTATCATTGAGTAAGCAGCTTTGTTTATTATTAAAAACTATTTACATTATAAAAAGTTGTCATTCAAAGAAATAGCTACAGAAAATATAAAATCATAACATTATTAACTTATATATT